TTCATGTTTCCCGTAGGATGTAATTGTCCATATTGTATTTGATTGTCCCTCCAGAGACACTTTTTAAAAGAAGACTTCTGTAAAAATTCTAGTTCTCCAAAATCATGAAAGTCTCAGGAGATTTTCAGATCACTGTACGGCATTTATAGAAAATAAGTGGTCTTTAGGTGAGAGCATCATAGGCAGAGAACCACGTCCAGAAGGAGAAGTCAAAGGCTCCCTTCCCGAGTGTGCGTCCGCTGCTCGTGGCCGAGGCCGGCTCCCGGGAGCTGGACGGCAGCCTGGCTGGCATGAGGCTCCAGTCACCTGGCATTATCAGCTGGTGTCACAGGCCTAGCATTTCCATGACAACCACATACCATGCTTGCTCAGAAACAGAAGGGGACGGTGTGAGCCGTCATCGGTGAAGTTCTAGCTTAGCGGATACACCCCCACCTCACACCCACCCTCTGCGTGTTTTAGGTCTTTAGTTGCAAACGGCTAAGTGGAGAGTTGTGCGTGTCACTGGAGGGCTCTCGTACCAGCAGGGAAAAGACAGTGCCGAGCAGGTCACCCGTGTCTGTTCAGAACAGGAGAGCCGGGGTGCACTTGGTGGGTGCTGCTCGGTCATCTAGGTATCGGTGACACACGTTGGCTTTGGACTCCCTCTTTCGGCCGTGAGGTTTGTTTAAAGCAACACGTCGTTCACACGGTGATTGCAAACTTTGCTCTGTGTCTGGAGCAGTTAAGCAGTAGGAAAGAGAAGCCCGTCTCTTCTGCGAGGCAGCCGTGCCCAACGAAACTATTTTCAGACGTTAAGTCCACCCGTTTCGTTTTGGCTGATTCAGAATGGTGTTTCCCTACTAGGACATTTTAATGCTTTGCCTACAAATTCACCTTTGTGATAAAAATAGTGGCTCCCGGTAAAGAGCTAAGACCATCACAGATTCGTTAGCTTTTTACTTCTCCAGTAAGTTACTCTCCCAGGGCAAGGTGTAGACGTTCTTTAGAAATTTGTTTCATTGTGCGTAATAGACCTGTTGTGTGCGTGTGTGCATTGGGAGATTATATCGATTTACATTCAAACATCCAGGTAACGTGAGACAGGGCAATGCCTTTCAGGTTCACCTGGGGTGTGCTTGTAAATCTTTAACAGCAGGCTCTGTGGCGCCCAGATCTGTAATATTTTCTGGTTCCCAAGGGGTAAATACTGGCTCCCTGGTGGCTTTCAAGCTACGGATGTGACGTCACTGAATCCTGGGGTAGGATTCAAGGTTCGGATCCGCTCTCGGCCGCTGGTACCAAGCAGCCCTGCATGCTCACAGGTGGTCCACACCTCCCGCACTGAGTTTGAAACCAGAGCGGTCTTAGACTTGATGCTGTGGTCAGAAAACCTCTTGAAACCAGGCAGTTCTGACCACTGACGGGAGCAGCCGTATGCGACGTTGTCCTCCTTTACCAAATGTGTAGGGGACACAGGTGTAATTTAAAGGATTCTCGGGATGTCAGGAATCACATTCATTTTTTTCTTGAAATCGCGAGCCGACAGCCGAGGGGATTATCATCTTAAAACCTAAGTTCAGAAGTTAATTTTTTCAGATTACTGCAGTTATATATTGACTTTTTCCAGATAGTAATGCGTGTATGATGAGATACTGTGCTTGTTTTGTTCATTCACTGAATTCTTTAGCGATGACTTTTTCCACGTTCATTTATATGTAACCGAGAGTACACATTTGATGGTAAGCAGGGCTTTCGGGCTCAATCAGGATTCCCCCACCTTGGCGGTATTGACATTTTGTAGCGGAGGTCCGGCCTGGGCATCGGAGAATACGAAGCTGCATCCCTGGATTCGGTGGTCAGATTCCAGGAGCGCCACTGCCCCCCTCCCCCTTCCTGACAAAGCAGAAACGTGTCCAGACGTTTGTCTCCTAGGGGAGGGGGAGGGGAATCACTCCGGCTGAGAATCAGCAGACTGAACGGGAAAACAAATCTTCTTCCATCGAACATTTTCTCCCTGCCTCTTGGGAACCGATCGTCATTAAATCCCAAAGAGTGGCTTTGCTGTTGGCACAGCTGGTGTCCTGAGGCCAACAGGTACCAGCCCTCTAGAGCGGATTGTCACTTTCTGTGAAATTTTGCCGAGCTGGTCATTGAAAATTAAAGTATATGGGGCGCCCGGGGGGCTCAGTCAGTTAAGCGTCCGACTTCGGCTCAGGTCATGATCTCACAGTTCGTGGGTTCGAGCCCCGCGTCGGGCTCTGGGCTGACCGCTCGGAACCTGGAACCTCCTTCGGATTCTGTGTCTCCCTCTCCCTCTGCCCCTCCCCCACTCACGCTCTGCCCCTCTCTGTCTCAAAAATAAAAATAAACACTAAATGTTTTCCAATAAAATTATAGTTACCACGAAATAAATCCTATTAAAGACAAAATGGAAAGACTCAACGTTCCTCCCTTATAATTGCTTTACTAGGTTTTACTGTTACCTGTGCTCTCGAGGTTATTTACATCAGTCGTATCTGTGTGGGGAGATGTGCGTAGGTACAGGTGCAGGTCCGGGGGCGCATCTTTCCACACTCCGTGTTGAGTGACGTCACGTGGAAATCAGCCACGGTGGGGGTATTACCCCAGGGGAACTGGCAGATGCCATCCACCAGGCTGTTCGTGTTTTCCCCTCAGATAGCTGGAGGTCCTGCATTTGTCAACAGGACCCTGGATGTGTTTATGTAAAAGAGGCTTATCAGTGATGCTATTTTGAGCGTAGATATCCAGTGTCCCCTCCAGATACAGGATGCATGTTACGTGACTTCCAAAACAAAGGTCAGAAGAACAGGGCTGATGGCATCTGGAAGCAGTTTGATTTTTTGAAAGTGGTAATCATCTTTTGTGCGCAGTAGTTGTGCTGATTAGCTAGTGTTCCCCAGCCTCTGTTGGGATGCACATAGGCTGGGGTGAGGTGGGGAGGGATCCCTGAGAGCCCCGGGAGGCAGGGGGAAGAGTGCCAGGCCACACTGCTGCTTGGCACCGGCCTCTCCCCTCGGCCTGGAAAGCTGGGCAAGAGGCAGGTGGGGTGGGGCTTTGCGCTCTGCCCCTCGGAGCCACCCTGGATCGGCCGCCATCGCATACACCGGCCAGTCCCTGACCTGTTTCCCCCTTTCTCCTGTCCTTGCCTGCAGTTCAACCAGATTTGTTTTATTGTCTCATTTCCCTGGTAAACTGTGAAACAATTCCAGGGTGTTTTGCCCGTTGGGACACAAATGCCCTGCCTTGACGTCGATGTTGACGGTTGGCTCAAGTCGTCCGCCAGACCCTGCTGCGTGCGGCCCAGCTCCCCACTTACCCTCAGGGCACCCGTTCTCACCTGCGTGGCAGGGCCAGGCCCGTGGGCCTAGCACTGGGCCCAGAAGAGTCGCCTGTCAAAGCTCTTGACCGGCGGGGCGCCTGGGTGGCTCACTCGGTTAAGTGTCCCAGCTTTGGCCCAGGTCATGATCTCAAGGTCCGGGGGTTCGAGCCCTATGTTGGGCTGTCTCCTGTCAGCAGAGATCCTGATTCCGATCTTCTGTCGCCCTCTCTCTCTGCCCCTCCCCTGCTGTTGTCGCTCTCTCGAGATAAATAAATAAACTTGAAAAAAAAAAGGTCTTGACTGGAGGAGACCGTATCCCTGGAGTCACAGAGTCCATTGTCCAGCCTTTGGTTAACCCGCCACTTGATGGGGCTGGCTGCCTGGCCCTGGACACTCACCTAGCCCCAGGCTTCAGCATGGGGGGCTCCAGGCAGGGCCTTCCCGTCCGTGGCCTCCCTTGCCCTCTCCAAACCCACAAACGGTCACTGGCTGCCTGCTTCTTCCAGAGTAACCTTTCTCTTACCTGCCGGACGGCACAGGGACACACAATCAGGCACCTGTGTAGAAAGAGATCGGTTGAGAACAAAACCTCACTTTTCTAGAAACAGTAATTACCCAATTACCCCTTACTTCTGACCAACTGCCATTTCTGTGGGGTTCTGTTTTATTGTATCTTATGACTCCAAGAAACATGTCCAACTCCTGCCAGGGCAGAAGAGGGCCCCACTTCTCGAACATCCATCACAGCAGTCTCCCGACGGCACATGCTGGTAACGAAAGGAGCTTGGAACCTTCCCACAGCGGGGAAACTGACTCAGATGTACAGAGAAGGCAAAACTGGGGGGTCGTCAGTGACTGAAACCCAGCAGACCTGTGAGGGGGCCCTGAGATCTGACAGCCCCTCAGGGGTTTCCGGACTTTTCCAAAAATTGTTTGTCCGAACGTGTTTTAGGCTCGAGTCTTGTGAATCAGAGTGGGCAGAGGATTGTGGTGAGTGTCTGGAAAGACCCTGGGCTGTGGACTCTGACGGTTGGCCAAGAACTCGGGCCAACGAGAGGGTCCACCACGCTTTTCCGTGGGAGCAACCACATAGGAGCATTTCCCAACGTTAGCATCTAGAAACCCGGAATATGTCTGCGTAGGGTTTACGGGATTCCTCGATTTAACAAGAAAATATTAAAATATTAAGCAGCAAGGAATGCCCATCAGATTTGCCTTTTTAATAACTGTTTTCTGAAGCTAAAATTTGTCAGCTCAATGGAGATGGTTGTAAAAAAACAAAAAGTGTGACTCAAAGAGTATTTAGAACCATAAATGATTACATATCATCATGAGCGTAAGGTGAAATTTATGAAATGGAACCCCACATGTCCCGTTTTTGAATTTCCTGGGTCTGTAATCTGTTTTTCCTTTGAAGTGTCATAGATTTTGCCGTACTGGGACTAGCCCGTGATGGGGCACCAGTGACTTCCCTACAGGCTGCTTTGAAGGTTTTCCCTTCTGACTCTGTTTGCGTCCCACGGCGGAGATCTGAGGTTGGCTCGACGCTGCAATTTTCCTTCATCGTATTTTACCGGGAGGGAGTGTCGTCTGGCAATAAATTACATTCTAAGACGGACTCCCAGGTTCTTTTTAGAACTCTGAAATTACTCAGCCAAGCCCCGTCTTTGTCTTTCAGAATACGAGCTGGTGTCCCCCTATGAGGTTGACCACAATGGAGACTACGTGTCGCATGACATCACGCACCCTCAGAGGAGGAAGAGGGCGCTGGCCCAGCACGGGGTTGAATCTCTTCACCTTCGGCTGAAGGGCTTCAGGCATGACTTCCACATGGAGCTGAAAGCGTCTAACCTGGTGGCTCCTGGGTTTATGGTGCAGACGCTGGGGAAGGGAGGCACCAAGTCCGTGCACGCCTTCCCGCCCGAGGATTTCTGTTTTTATCAAGGCTCCTTAAGATCCCACAAAAATTCCTCGGTGGCTCTTTCAACGTGCAAAGGTTTGGTGAGTACCCACCGCCGCTAGTGAGGTGACAGGGACAGTGGCGTGTGTGAAGGGGGAGGGCGATGAGATGTCCCTTGAGATCGTCTAGCTGACTCCTCCGTCATCGCAGGGCAGATTTCACTGATCTGTGAAAGCAGGAGAACGTTGTCAAGGAGCGCTGTCTACGAGGCGCAATGCCGTCGCCTTGGGCCCATTTGGCTGTGGCCCATTCTGGAGAAATGTCTTCATTCTGCAAAGAACAACACGAGTCCCCTGGTGGACCGGGTTGATTATTTGATCGGCTGCTTGAAAGCCCTTTACTCGTGTCGTTCTGTCCAGGATCGCATGCTTACAGGTTAGGGTGTAATTTCAAATGTGACAAAGCTGTGGCCGGGAAGCGCAGGTCTCACTGGACTGATGATTCTCTGGGCATGTTCCCCATCTTCTTAGCACGGTAGAGACTTGGATGGCGAGCAGCTCGTTCCGGGAGTATTC